ACCAGAATACCTCTGTTGTGTAGAGAGTATATTAGAACAATATTTCTTAGCCTGTGGTCTAGGAACATATTTTAAAACATATTTCAGTAACCATGTTTCCATATATTTGGATTCCTTTTAAATCATGTGTATTTTATTTTATTTATTTAAAAGCGTTATTTCTAAAAGGAGTCTATAGACTTCACCAGACTTCCAAAGGGGTCTGTGACACACAAAAAGATTAAGAAACTCATTTCTATTAAATCCTCAGCGGTTTGTAACAGCTTCACTAGGGCTCCTAGGGATACTAGTTCATGAGGACTGCCTAAGAGATCCTAACAGAAACCACATAGACATATGAAACTGACTCATTTCTGAAGGAACCCTGAACCTGCAGGAGCAGATCAATCGCACCAAAGACACCTTGAAGAAGACTTGGATTAGAATAGACCTTAAATCACATGATTAGTGGTTATTCTACCTCTGCAATTATCTCTTGGCTGATCACTAGATCTCAGAATTGGAATAGTCTTCAGATGCCATCAAGTCCAATCTACTTGTCCCAGAATCTCCTTTATCAATTAACTGGCAAGTGATCATCCACACTTTAAGACTTCCAGTGAAGAGAAACATGTTTCATTAGCCCTTGAGGCAGTCCACATGTTGTTGTAGTTAAATACTTGTTAGATTGGATTGGAATGATAGCATTTTAGAGCTGAGAGGGAGCGTAGAGACCGTCTATTCTTAAAGTGTGTAGTTTTTCTTTTCTCTGAAATAAAAAAAATCTTTCTAAAAATTTTAGCAAAAATTTGTCATATTGTACCATGTTACATAGCTTATTCCTATTCCAATGTTTTGCTGTATTGCTACCTAGTATTTTACTAAAGTAACATAATAGAAGAGAACAAATGACATGAAATAGTGATTTGGTAATTAAAATTGTTTTCACTATTCTCTAGGTCCTGAAAATTGACAGTTCATATTTAAGTGTGCCTTTGAGGTTAGTAAATCATTGCTAGTTTTATTGCTATGCAAAATAATAAGACTGTTGCAGAATATTCTTGTTGGGTACACAGAGGTAATTCAACTGTTTAAAATGCTAAATGAAAGAACTAAGATTTAGTATCATAGAATTATAGACATGGAATGTGTGAAATCTTTAAGGTCCTTATATTGAACTAACTCAATTTAGAGCTAGAAAGGGCCTCAGAATTCATCTAATACAGCCTCCTCATTTTCTAAACGGGGAAACTGAAGCCCAGAGAGGTTAAGAGACTTGCTGGTTCATGGCAAAGCCTACTCAGAGCTTTTCCTGCTTCTACTTCCTTCCATGCTACTGGTTCAGAGAGCAGAACTTGGAACAATGGGGTAGAAGTTGCAAAGAGATGAATTTAAACTTGTTGTCAGCAAATACTTCCTGACAATTAGAACTTTCCATGAGTGGAATGAGCTTCTTGGGGAGATGGTGGGCTCTCTTTCAGTGGAGCTCTCTAAGCAAAGGCTAGATGACCACTTGTCAGGCATATTTCAGTCAGGCTTTGGGAAGGTATAGGTTGGAGCATATGGCCGCTGAGGTCCCTTTTAGCTCTAAAATTCTGTGACTCTGATAACAGAATGGGGTCATAATTTGTAGATACCAGCACTACTGAGGTTTCATACTTCGTGGTTCTTGATTGGCTTGAGGTCATGGCTCAGAATGTTATGCCAATTGAGTTTAGGTATCAATTTAAAGCTATCTCTTCCAGATCTATCTTCTTTGGAGATAGAGAACACTGGATCAGTTCCCTTCTTATAATAACTCTTTACATACTTGAAGGTGGTAATTAAGTTGTTCATTAGCCTTCTTTTTTCAAACTGAATTACCCTTACTCTCTTTTCTTTCCTTTAAAGACCTATTTTATTTAAAGATCTTATTTTCCAACCCGTTCATTATTTTCATTGCTTTTCTCTGGTTCTTCTCCAATTTTTCCACATCCCTTTTCAAATAGGAGTGTAGAATTGTTCACAATACTGTCATGGAGACCTGGTCATTGAAAAGTTGAAAGCTATATATTGTGACTACCATTTTTCAAAAGATTCATTTCAAACATCAAGGGACACTGACATAATATGTGGTTATTAGACGTGCAGTACATGTTGATACTTCATTTTCCACAGTTTCTTGCATCCGGGTACCTCACAGAACTTTTTTTAATCTTTCCATAGTAACCCAATTCTATTGTGGTTTACAAGTAAAGAAACTAAGATTAGTTGATTTACCATGGTCTCCTAATCAGGGTTGGGCTAACCCAGAGTCTAATTGTATATTTTTCAGATCATCTGTAGGATAGCCTGAATTTTTTCCCATTTTTTCTAGGTAATTTGGGGGGTATTGACAAGAATATGTTGCCTCTAGAAACTATACTCCTTGATAAGCATAAGTGGAATCCTTCCATACTGATATATATAGTTTGATTCTGCCATGGTCCATCACTGACCACACCAGAAATAATAGATTCATGATTCCATATTTATTGTTCCACTAAAAGACCTCGGGGCCCTGGAGATAAAGCAATAACAAACATGATTTTTGAAGAATGCAATGATATCAGCTCCAAAGGTGAGCTCATAAACGAACAGTAACCAATGTGTTTTTGCAAGGATGTTAGAAAGATGAAAAGGGCTGATAGTAAAGTTTTATCATTGTCAAAGTGTTTTTTCACTTCTGGCTTCACCTGATCAGGATCAAAGGACTCACCAGGCATCCTATTCTTTATTAAATACTAGAGCTAAACTCTTCCATTTCAAAAATTGCCATTTTCATTTTATGAGTAACTCTCTGAAAGTCATTAGCTAAACTGAAATCATTTTGATGAAACAGTAATCTGACTTTGGTAATTCTGACATGGCCAGTGCAAGGAACAAGTATATAGGAAGATGTCTGTTTTCTGGAGAAGTCTAGTTTCTTCTTCAGTCACAATGCAAAGACTATTTGTTTCTCCAATTCCAAAACTGTTGCAATATTCACAAATCTATAGAACAAGTCAAAGTGGCAGGGAACCCTCCCTGCGAGGCTAAGTGATCCCATCACTCATCCTACACTTTCCCTTTGAGACATCTAGGCCTACGTGAACAAGATTTACATAGCTTAATACATATTAATAACTATTTTAATACCCAATAAACCTTTCCTATAATACTTTCCTATCACTTCATGGTCTTTAGCCCAGTGAGAACAAAATGAAATCACCACTTGGCAGGCCTTTGGAATCACACAGAGGCTCTGGGTTTTTAGCAATAAACAAGAGTTTTGGCAGAGAACAAAAAAGATATGTATAATTGGAAATAACAATATAGGGAACTAGATTTTATTCTTTATTTCATCTTTATTAGCACCTTTGTTTTGATAGCTTTCCGAAACGTGTTCCATATCTGACCTAAGCACTGACAGGTTTTTTTTTAACAAGTTAGGTTCCCTTTATGCTCTTTCTCTTCTTCCCTCCCTCCCTTCCTTGTTTATTCCCTCCCTCCCTCCTTTTGTCTGTCTCTGTCTCCTTTCTCTGTCTGACTCTCTTTCTGTGTGAGTATATCCTGGCTCTTTCTCTATCTCTATCTTTCTCTGTCTCTGTCTCTCCCTTCCCACCTTTTCCACCCAATCTCTCTCTCTCTCTCTCTCTCTCTCTCTCTCTCTCTCTCTCTCTCTCTCTCTCTCTCTCTCTCTCTCTCCCCATGAAGCAGCCTGTGTCTCACTCTCTTAGGGAAAGGGGAAAGAAGGTTGTGGCCAAAGAGTACATTTCAATTTGGAAGAACTTGCTTTATATTGGCGTAGACTCCCTGTCTAGAAAATGGAAAGTACAAGAGCCTAGTGACCAAAGAGTGAAAGAGACCACTTTTTAGGTGTGGGTCTCAGATTTTTTTAGGACCATCTTTTATTATTTCCCCTGACATTTGTTCATTCTTATATCCATCAATTGGCTTTCAAAATATTCAATACTAGAAATTAAACATAGAGCCTATCACAACTAGACACAGTACCACCTTCTGAACTTATTATAAGTAAATCACCACTTAATGATGTTAAACTCATCATCTGCCTCAAATAATGGAATACTTTTATAGAATAGACTTGAATGGAATCAGCATGATAAGTCTTTTCATAAGCTTCCACATTTCCTTGCTTTTCATAATTCCAAATATGAAATTCCACACTCATACTTTCACAGCACAGAGAATGGCAAATTCTTCCAATTCAACTGGAACATCAAAGGCTTCCTTAGTTGGGTCTGGATAATTTCCTCTTATTACTAATTTATAATATAGAAAAAGTGGAAAGAACAATATATAGCCTAATCATATCTACATTCCTGACCAACCTTGGAACAAATGAGTTTTTTACCAATAAAATGTTTTCTCAGAGTAAAATTATGCCTGAAGGTCAAGTATACATTTTCCATTGGTTTCCAGGGTGGGCGAGAGTAAGTACCAGCCATTGCCTGCCCTTAACACTGACAGCTGGTTTAATATTACAAAACTTGCTTGGCCTATTTTGTTGAGTTTAATGCAGTCCCTTTACAAAGCCTAGTCTTATTTCCAAAAATAGTGTTGTATGAAAGCTAAAACCACAGGAAATATCTTATAGATATTTGGAGATGGGACACTGAAATCATCAGAGAGAAAGGAAAGCATTAAGGGCAATTGTTTTGTTTGCAGACACTTGATTTTTAAAAGTGACTTACTGAGCCAACTTTTTTTCACAGAAGAGAACCACTGTGTCTCTTACTTCTAGAAGGATAATCAAATGTCATTAAAATAAATGGTCTACTTTGCTTAGAATGCTGCAGTAAATTGAGGAAGGGATACTAATGACAATGAAGTCTTTTGGACAATGGAGGATTAAATTTCAAGACATGCTTTGGCTCCACATATGAATGTAGTCCATGGAATGCTCATTATATGAGGACAAAATATCCCAAGTGGGAATAATTCTGTGTATATGTATTTTCAAAAAAAGAAAAAAAAATAAAGACACTATCTACATTTACCTACTCTGATCCCAATTGGCTGCAAAGAGCAAAAGGATCTTCCTGCCATAGTGATCTCTCTTTTCCAGTACTCCAGGAAATCCATCAATCAGAGCCCGCTTGATTCCTGGGTCATCAGCCTTGAAGTTTTTGAACATGTCCAGGTTTAGCTGGCGGTACTGGAAGTACTGAGCCAGTAGTCTAAAGGCATCTGTTTGGTGAAACTTCCTAGCTCGAAGAAATCTCAAGATGAAGGCATCATCTGTACGTAAAAATCCAATGTCAGGTCTGGTGATGATCATGTCCCGGACTTGCTGAATATCCTGATGCAATATATCTGGATTTTCGTTCAGTTCCAGACGAGCTTTCTCTATAGTCTCTGGACTGAGTCCAGCTTGTAAGTGGGTCATCTTTGCTAAATCTCCTTTCCCAGGGCTCAATTTCTGATATTTTAAAAGGAAAGGGACTGATCCCATTCAAGTGATAGTTTTCTGGAACTTAACCCATTCAAGAGCTGCTTCACTGCCAAGCTGCTGCACAGAAAGACAGCTAGAGGGTCTTTTTCTTATTCCTGGAAAGCTGTAGGACATTCAGGCCATGTATGGTGGTCTCCATCCAAAAGGGAGCAGAATTTATGCCATCGTTCTCTACAAAACAAATCCATAAAAATTTATGACATTAATCACACTACAGAGAAGATATAAAGAAAGTCTGTATGAGTGAATTTCTGAGCTCAGTTCTGAAAACTTATTCCATTATACTGTGCTTCTGATTAAGTATTCAAAGAATAAGTGCGAAATTATCTTAAAATGAGAGTATTTAGCATAATTTTGTCATTGGCATCTTGAATCTATAATACGCAAGTATTTGAAATATATTCGATGAATTTATAATTACATGGAACAGTTAGCAATAGAGATGTAAGATCAGATTAGCATTAGATTGTCCTTTTATTAATTGGCCTAAGAAAAAATAAGAGAGAAGAACAACTAATTTACCATATCCGGGGCTGTTCTTAGTCAAAGATATCACGGGAGAAATGGCAGGAACCTTAAAATACTCCTATAATATAATACACCTGTAATACATTTTTACCAAACAGAAATACCTCCTAGATTTATACTTCTCAAAAAGTAACAATAAAAAACTTTACAATACAAGAGAATTCAGTCTAATGGAACAAACAATTTGGGGGTAAGAGGACTTGAGGGTGAATCCTTGCTTTATTTTTTAGGATTTGTTAAAGTCTTATGGGAAGGGGCTTGCCTCGCTAATTAATAGATTGCTTTCTTCACAGACAATTCACTTTTCTTCGGAAGAGGAGTCCAAATTATAGGGTTAATGTTACAAGTCTTGCAGCTAAACTGACACTGAGGTTAAGATGGGCTTCACCAGAGAGGGAGGATAATTATATTGATTGTTTATGGTCTATTGTGAGTCATTTGTGTGCTTTCTACTTTTTTTTTTGGAGGGGGGATGAAACAAATGTTGTCTATACCCAATATGATTGCAATCAAGTTCTTGCATGAGAGCAGTGTGTTCTTTTACCCATATCTGTGGAGATCCAGACATGAGCTTTATTATGAGATTTCTCAAAGGAAACTGTGGGTGGGGATAAATTAAACCAAAATGATATGATTCTTTGAAGGCCCCCCCCCGGATTAAATCTGTTCTGTACAAGCTCAGAGCTCAAGTTGCAAGGTCATGAGTTACATAAGAATAAATATTTATTCTCTCCCAGGCATACATCCTGGAAGTTCTGAAGAACAGAAGAAATATTCAGGGTGAACAAACTGGGAAATGTAATTATGTTTCCTAATTAAAGCTTTTCTGGCTTAGTGGCATCTGCAGCAAGAGGAAGATTTTCCGCTCCCAGCCTATTTGTGATTGGTATTTTCCAACCCTCCCAAATCTCAAGAGAGGAAATTCCTCCTTCTCAGCTTGGGGCCAACTGTGATTTATCTAAAGGTAGGATGTCTACTCCACTATGTCCATGTTATTTTATAGTTAAGCTGAGGGGGTCTAGGGTACAATGAAAGTAACTAACTTGGGTTTGCTCTTCTAACTAAAATAATGGGAAAAACATCTTTATTTGGACTTGATAATGAAGAATGTACATAGTGATGTTACATATCATGTGCAAACTAATCACTGAATAAAATCTGAGGTCTTAAAAATTTGAAAAATATATAAGTTCAGATATTGAGAATAATGTGGGGTTAGAGTTGCTATAAACTAGAATGCGGTGGCAATATGTGTGTGTGCAGGTAAATGACATTTTCCCCCACCCCTATGCTACCCCCATACTCTTGAACCGACATGTCAGTCATACATGGAATAATTCAGACAGGACATTACTTTCTTTTTTTTTCTTGTTTTTAAATTTTTTAGGCAATTGGGGTTAAGTGACTTGCCCAGGGTCATACAGCTACTAAGTGTCAAGTGTTTGGTCTGAGACCAGATTTGAACTCAGGTCCTCCTGACTTCAGGGCCGGTACTCTATCCCCTTTGCCACCTAGCACCCCCTGGACATTACTTTCTTATCTTACTTGGGTGATAAATGCCTTTTCTGGTAACAGGATCTTTACCTTTCTGCCTCTAGAAGGCCAAAATAACTTTTTTATTCCCCCCATATGATTCACTTTTGTCTCTTCTCACTTAAATATGGTCAAACCACCATGAGTCGATTTCTATTCATTTTAAAACACTCTTATATTCATTTTTATTTTATTTAGTGATTGGAGAGGTTAGCATCCAGAGAAGAGGAGAAAAGGACCTTACAATATGCCCTGATAATATGCCCTCCAGATACCCAGGGATTGCTACTTTTCCTGCCAAGATGACTTATATAATAGTCCTTATAATCTGTGCTTATAGCTGCACCCTTAGGACTACTGTATCTTAAAGCCTCCTATATGTGCTATCTCCCCCATTTAAAATATGATTTCTTTAAAATCAAGGACTACCTTGATTTTTCATTTGTACCCCCATCACTTAGCACAGTCTTTGGAACATAGTCAACGTTTAATAAATGGTTTTTCATGAATATGATTCATTTCATAGCATTTATTGAATATCTTTATTCATTCAATGATGAAAAATATTCATTCAATAGTGTTGTCTCTTGAGTATTTTCTAATAGTCCTTGAAAATCTTTGAGAACAGAGTAGCATAGATAATGAAAAGAGTGCTTAGATGGGGAGAAAACAGCTTTCTCACTCCATTGTTTAGAAAACATAAGATTTTAGAGTTGGAAAGGATATTAGAGATAGTCTAGTTAAGTCTTCAAATTTTACAGATCGAGAAGTTAAGGACCAGAGAAGTTAAGTGTTTTCCAATGTCACACAGAAAGTTAGTAGCAGAGCTGGGATTTGCATCTGTGGCTTCTGTCCTCAAAATCAAGCCTTATTCCACTACCTCACACATTTACCAGCTATGTGACATTGGACACATAATTTCACCTTTCAGAGTTTTGAGTGCCTCATCTTAAAAATGGAAAGAATACCTCATCTTCCTGAACAGAGGAGCTGAATCACATAATCGCTTGAAGTCTCTTCCATCTTTAAGAATGATTATTTCTGCTTTTCAATCACTCCTTAAGTGAGCCTGTTTCATTGCATGGTGGCTTTTAGATTACGGTTTAACTTCACTCTGGGTTTTCCTTTCTTGGTTTTGAGTTTGATCCAAGTTTACCTCCTCATATACTCCACCACAACCTGCCTAAAAATGCTACAAGTATAGCCTGATTTCTCTTTCTTTATACAGGATTGGAAGGAGAAAATAGAGGTGAATCTGCAGCATTGTTGTTTTTGTTATTCATCCTTCATTCTCAGAGAGGACCTATGAAATCACAAGCATATCTATTGGATTTAAGCGAGGCCAAAGTCGTCAGCCTGAAGGCAGGGGAAAGGCACAGACAAAGGCACAACTAGAAACAATGTATGTGCCATCACCAAGTGAGCTTTCCCTCAAGCAAGGTGCCATAAAACACTATCCTTGGCTTAGAATGATGGCTGTAAGCTGAAAGAAGCCTGTATGATTGATGTATGAAAAAACCACTTAATGCTTAGAGCTATCCAAGAGCAGAACAAGCTGCCCTGGGTTGTATTTAGGTTCCCCCTCTCACTAAAACGCTTTAAACAACAGCTAACTGGCCACTTTGTTGCATATTGAGGGGATTCTTACTCAGGTGCTGGTTGGACTTGATGGCCTCTGAGATCCAATCTACCTTTAGGTTTGTGATAGCAGAAAGGCTTGGGATTAAAAGTCTTGCATTTAAATACTTATTAGCTATGTGACCTTGAACAAGCAACCTAACTTTTTGGAGCCTCACTTTAATAATCTGTAAAAAGGGTATAATAGTCCTTGTAGCACATACCTCACGGCATTATAAGAACCCAGTGACATAATATCGGTATAATTTCTTCGTAGTCATTTCATGTACCATATAAATGTGTTTCATTATTGTTATTTTGTCCCCTGACCTCTTGAGCTACTGGGATTTCAAGCTGATCCACGTTGCTATGGCAAGGGTAGAATATGGCCTTTGACGTTAAGATTAGCAACAGATGCAGCAGTTCATGAGACTGGACAGATGCGAGAAATTGGAGTTATAGCAAGTGTAAAATCCTAATTTACTGAAAATCAGATTCCTAATTAGACTCCATTACTCACTGTGGGAATAATTGTGAGTTACTAATGTGTATTTTCTGCTTGGACTTTCCTGATCAGGCATGCAGAACTCTTTCACATGGACATGGTAAACTGCTGTCAGTCCAGCTTGGCACAGACTTCAATGTAACACACCTGCTCCTCACAAGCTCTCAGCTTTTTAGAACCTTGGAACGAAGCCTAATTAATAGCTACGTTTTTTATCTTTTTTTGTTTATGAATCCTAGTATCAATAGCTCAATCGTTAAACATTTATTAAGTACCTACTATGTGCCAACCACTTTGCCAGGTGCTAGAGACAAAGATTAAAAATGAAATAGTCCTTGTCCTACAGGAACTTATATTCTATCAAGGGAGATAGCATGTATATAAATAAGCACATAAAACAGTAATAATAATAATAATTCCATTTATATAGCACTTAAAGTTTTGCAAAGTGTTTTACAAATTTTATTTTTTCTCACAATAACCCTGGGAAGTCTTATTATTATTATTATTATTATTACTATTATCATCGTCACCTCCATTTTATAGATGGAGAAACTGATGCAGTGGTTATGTGATTTGCCAAGGGTCACAATCTAGTAAGTGCCATTGACTAGATTTGAACTCAGATCTTCTTGACTCTAGATTCAGCACTCTATCCACTGTACCACCTAGCTTCCTCTAAACTATACACAAAATAAAAATAAGGAAAATTTTTGGACAGGAGGGCATTAGCTTCTGCAGTATCAGGAAATGTTTCATGCCAAAGGTATTGTTTAAGCAGAATGTCAATGAAACCAAAGTAATCTAAGAGGTAAAGGTGAGGTGAACATGCATTCCAGGTATAGGGCCAATCAGGAAAGAAGTGCAAAGATGGAATGACATCATATGAGGAATAATAAGGCCAATTTGAATAGGAGAGTGTGAGAAAGGAATTTGATTGATGTAATATATTAGAAAGAGAACTGGACAAAAGCAGATTTGCAGTCAG